CTATAGCAGCTCAACTTTAACTGCCACAGAATTTGCTACAAATTTAGGCCCTACAATTTTAGTGGTTGTGGAAGAATGCTATATTTATACTTCAGGTTGGCTTAATCCACCTCTTCAGTACTGGGACCCGAGGAGGCACCACCAGAGGGAGGAGCTCCTCCTCCAGGGAAGCCCCAGGCTTCCTCCAGGCCTGCCACCTGCACTCTGCACAGCTTCTCGAGCTCTTTCTGCTGATGTTCAAATTCTTCTTTCTCCACCTTCTGATTCTTATCTAGCCAGTTGATGATTTCATTACACTTGTCAAGAATCTTCTGTTTATCTTCATCATTAATCTTGCCTTGAAGCTTCTCATCTTCAACAGTTGCTTTCATTACTTTCATTATTTGAAATATTTCTTCTGTTCTTTTCTATTCTGTTCTCCCTTTCTCCACCTGTCATGTTCCTAGAGTGCATATGTTATACCTTTTGATGTTTTTTGTGTTTGTTTGTTTGTTTTGTTTTGTTTTGTTTTTGAGGCAGGGTCTCACTACGGAGCTCAGGAATACACACATGCACTCATTGGGCTCCTCCTGCCTCAGCTTCCCAAGTGCAAAGATTTGTAGACATGCACCATGATACCTGGATTATTGTGGAGGGATTTTCGTTTTCTGGTTTTTGTTTTTGTTTTTGTTTTGAGATATCTTATCTTTTTGTAGTTCAGTCTGGTAAGTTTCCATCACATCTTTAGAATTTCTGGGTTTTTTTCCTCAGCTGTATCCAGCCTATTTATGACCTATGTCATCAAGGGGATTTTTCATCTCTATTATAGCAGTTTTATTTCTAGCATCTCCTTTCATTCTGAGTTTTCACCTGTTTACATTACTCATCTAGTCTTACCTGTTGTCTATTTTTTCCCTCAGAGCCCTTAGCATATTAGAGAGTTATTTTAAATTTTCTAGCTGGTAATTTCAAACTGTGTATTACATCTCAACTTTGTTCTGTGCTTGCCTTTCAGCATGACCTGTAGAACATGCGGGTGAAGGATCTGAGGTAGGTAGAGCTTTAGTGTGAAACTTGGTGTCTAGTTGAAGAGTTGAACTGAGTTGTTTTCCTGTAACTTTATGTGCCAGCTTTAAATTCCTCTAGTGTCCTTGGTTGTGCCTACTCTGTTGTCTTTGAGTTTTCCTAAGAATTTCCTCAGTCTGTCTTGAAGGTCTTTTGGTTATAATCTGCTACTGTCATACTGGAACCCTGTTGATATGGTGGTAAGGTTTAAAGAAAGGAAAGCATTTTGTAATTTTACAATTAAATCTTAGCTTTTTAGTGCATCTGAGTCCTGGGTTATTACATTCATAGGTATCTCTTAGCTTCCTTCCCATCCTTCTGAAGAAGATGCTACTGAGGAATTGTTTTAACCCTGAGAGAGATGGGCTCTAATAAGGTTTTTGTTTTGAGAGTGAGTCTTGGTGTCTCGTGTTGCTCAGGCTGATTTCTAAACTCCTAGATTCAAGCTATCCTCACGCTTCAGACTCCTCAGTAGCTGGAATTACAGGAATGAACTACTCCATCCAGATTAGAGGATATTTTTAAATGTCTCCTTTTTCTTTGCCCTTGCTAGAGATAGAAATTTATCTTGTAAATTTAGCCTCCATCAAGTTGTGAAAATCACCATTTAAATTTCCTTACTAGTTTGCGGCTCCAGCAGCTTTGGCTTTAGATAAGCTGATAGTCACTGTGTCTCTTTTGATTTGGGGCTGGCAGCCCTACAACTTCCTGTCCCCCAGGGGTCCAAGATAAGAAGTTCCCTTTCAGTTTGCTGAACTTTTTTCTTGTTGTAAGCATGGGAATGATGGCTCTGTGTATGTTGATGTTGGCACCAAATATTGCTTTTTTTAAAATGTTCTCAAAGCACAGCGCTGAGATGGCAATAAGGCCAGCCTCTTCTATTTGTCTTTTGGGGACAGGTCTGCAGGGGAGTGACTGTGAAGGAAAGGCCCAGTGGTGCACAGGTGATCCTGCCCAGGGACCCAACGGATTTTGCAGATGCTAGGGGTACAGTTAGGTGCCAGGGGTCTATTTCACTGCCCCGTTCTTGCTCTATCACTTCTCACTTGGACTAAACTCTTCTCAGACCCCACCTACAGCCTACCCTGGATCCTTCCCATTAGAATCTTTCATAAGAATGAATCTAGCCCTGCCATCACCCTTCCATTTGAAAATCCTGCACCCCTAGAAAAAAAATCACAAGTTTCTTGGTGTGGCATCTGCAGATCCACACAACTCACCCCTAATCTTCTGTTCTGCACAGTAATAAGGTGCCAAGAACACCTGAACCTAACATGCCCAGGCCTGTGCAGATCCCTCTGGAAATGCTTCTCATTCTGATAAATTCAGTCACAGTGCCATGCTCTGGATCCCACTGGTGTCCTGCAATGTCCCTCAGCCCCAGAGAACCTGTCCAGCAGCTGAACCCCACCTTCCTTGAGGTAGAGGACCCATGGGACAGACACTTTGCATCTCCCTGTGGCTGTTTTCTTCCTAGACGTGGGACGCTAAACAACTCCTGCAGTCCTCTGCACTCAGCCTCTCCAGCTGAGGAAGGGGATCTGCTGAAGGGGCTTATGGGTACTTGCTGTTCAGGGAAGGAGACAGGAACCAGGCTCTGGAGGCAGACTCCAGCGGCGCCCATTCCAAGTGCCACCACTCCCTTGACGCAGACAAGCTACTTACCTCTCTGAGCTTCACTTCATCATCTATAAGCCATGTAATAAATGGAATCAGCTCTTAGGCTGAGGCCTCTGGGAAATAATGCCATACAGGGAAGTTTGTGGTATGGTAAATGCCCACATTGATTGTTCCTCCTAGTACATTGGTCAAGCGCCATGCCAAGTGCTCAGGTATCCTAGTGCAATGACGGCAACCCTTTTAGAGCTTTCAATGATAACAAAGGGCATACTGCAGGACTGCCATAGGTTCACCCCCACTGTCCTAGTGCATCTTACCCACATCTCAGCCAGCAAGGCAGGAATGTTTGTTTGCCTCCACAAAGCAGGCAAACAAGCCCCTGAGGAAGACAAAGCCATCTGCTTCCCCTGGGTGACCATGGGGGTGTGGAGGCCTGAAAGGGGACTGAGGGAGGCTGCACAGACTTCGCTATCTGGGGTGCCCCCTCGCACCTTAATGATGGAGGTGATGGCACCAGCCATAGCAGGTGGTGGGGCACAAGGGTGGGGATGTACCCAGCCCCAGCTGTTGACTGATCCAAGGTAAAAGCATCCTCTTGGCTCTTTCATTCCACTCCTCCAGTTCAGGGGAGGAGCCCCAGGTTTTTGAGAAGCCCCAGGTTTTTGAGGGCTTCCTGTGTGCCAAGTAAACACATAGCTGGGTGCTCTGATATTGCACCCATCCCCACAAACTCCCAAGAGGCAGCTGTTATTGCCCCACCTACATCCAGGTCCAAAGGCAAGCAGCCAGGTTTCCAAAGAGACTGATGCAGAAAGCACCTCCTCTCTATCTCCACTACCAAATAGTTGAGGCCTGTTTGTCCCTCACTTCAACCAGTGAGGCTGTTATTGGGAAACATCAATTATGGATGACAACAACCCTAGTTTAGATGTCAAACCTCAAGCTTAACACTGACTACTTGTTTAAATGCCTTAGCTCACACAGGCTGGAGAGTACACAAACCAGGTAACTGCATGTAACAGTCCCCACATCATTCTCAGGAGAGGACTCTTTTGAGAGGTGTTGGTATCACCCTTTTCTGTGACCTCAATCATTTACTTCTTCAGCACTTCAAGGTGTCCTACTGTTAAACAAACCAAGCTCAAATGGTCCCAACAGTCTCCTCTGCCCAAAAGCTTTGGCCTTGAAGGAGCAATCCACTTTACAGGGCCCTTTATCTCCCATCCTCATTGGCTGCAGGCTTCCCTCTGAAGGCTTCCTCCAAGATCACTCCCCAGTCTCATGGTCTCACTCAGTTCCCATCCTTCACCTTTCCTTGCAAGTGATCTTGGAGAGTGCTGGACATCTCCCCTCATTACAAGGACACTCCAGGTATTTGCCTACTTCTCATCGCCTTCCTACCACCTTAAAAAGGTTCTCTCTCCATTCCTCAAGCTGTGACTAGAGACACTGCTGACTCACTGTGTCTACTCTAGGTCCAGTCTTGTGGATCCTGTTGCTCTTCTTCCTACCTTCATCTCAAGTGATACAGGATGAAGCAGCCCTCCCAGTCAAAGCCCAACCAAAAGGAGCCTGACAGTGGTCACAGTACCCCAGTGGGGACCCAGGGAGCTGCTTGGAAACCTAGAGGGTACACAGGCAGGTAGTACTGAACCTTGTGTCTTTGGCTTCCTCTCCCATCTGGACCTGCCATCCCCCCTCCTACCCTAATTCCTGGACAATGGAAAGAGGAGTCATCTTTTGCCCATTCCTCCTCCCCACAGCCAAAGGTGACAAATCAGGGTCCATAATACATTTTGTTTGGCCTGCCATACTTTTTGAAAGTTTCAATTAGCTGCTATCATTAAAAAATCAGACTTCACTTAAGAATCCAGCATTCTAGTTTCTTTTGAAACATCAAAAGATCTGGTAATATGAGGTCCATATTCCTACATGTGACAACCAGCTGGAGATGGTATCTGCTGTCCATTTCTGTGGGGCTTGTGCTCTGGCTTCTGAAGTTCTAAGCTGCCCAACTGCAATGGCCACTACATCTGCCACATGGCTCCTAAACCATATGTCTGTTTGAGGCAATCTGGCAGAAAGAACCAAAAGTGAAATTAATTAGAAGTTATCCAGTTCAGTCCTTTCCACAGCCTGTACATCTCAGCACACAAAGGAGGGCAGAGTACAGCAAGTAGGAAGGCAGGGTAAAGTGTTCTAGTCGAAGCATTTTTCAGTCTTTCTGTGGTCACTGTTTATTGCCAGCAGCACCTCAGGCATCTTCTGTGTCCTGTCCCAGTTCAAGCCTCCCTTTGGGAGCCAGGCTGGTGCAAATACAGAGCCTGATCTCTCTTCAGGCCATTTCTTCTCCACATCCTATGAGATCTGGGCCCCACACCTCGGTTTCATCCTGAGCTGAGCAGCAGTGTGCCTGTAGGCATAGGCTCCCTACCCTCTACGCAACTCAGCCAAAGGTACACCATGGGGTTGCAGTCTTGTCACAGTCCAACATGATGTTGAGAATAGTGCAGGGAGCCCCACCCACAGACAGGGCTGTGCGGGAATCCACGCGATACTTCACAGTGTTCAGGCCTCCCTCCCGATCCACCTTGAATTGCTCCTGGGAAGGAAAGGAAAAAAGGGCATATACTCAGGACTTCATGGTGCCGGCTGTCCCCTGATCTCATAGGACCTCATTATTAAGGTTCTTCAGAAGCTCATTAAGAGAGAACCCAATACTCAGAGAAGTGAAGTCTCTAGCCCAAGGTTACACCCATGAATAAAGCAAGAGAGCAGGGATGTTTTTCCTTTGGGAAAAACAGGCTTCCAAGGAGAGGCTATGTAAGGACAGGCATCTCAGCATCTTAAGTCTGCTAGGATTCTGGCACTGTTAGTTAAGTCTTCCCTGCCCCAACCTACACAGAGCCGAGAGGTGTGGGCTGACCCACAGAGTCCAGGTGGCCTATGTAAGCTGTCAGAGCACAGCATGGTGCCCATGGACCTGGGCAAGCAGAGGAGGATAGGGCTATGTGGCTCTCAGGAGAACTTGGGAAATGCTTAGGCCTATCAGCTTCCCAGACCACCACCTACCACCTCTGATAGATAAGAAGACCAGCTAGTACCTGTTTTTGAGCTGCAATACGCTTCTGATCCCTCTTCCGCCAGGCTGGGTCATGTACATGGCGAAATGTCTTATAGCCAGTGGTGATTCCCGAGGGACGGAAAAGCTAAGGAGATTAAGGAAAGGTAGAAGTCAGGCCACCTTTCTTGAGACTTGGCTCTCACCACTCACTAGCATCTCTGGGGTCCCACTACCTGCCAGGAGACCAGAGGCAGGGACTTGTATCCCAATACTGAAGAAAAGGGCAAAGGACTAGTAAGATAACCACTGTAAGTCAGGTTCAAGGCAGGGACTGGAACTAGGGGTTGGGGACATCCAAATTCCAAAGTTTCTCATAGCAAGAAAAGGCAATTTCAGGGCAGCTACACTGACTGAGGAGGTGGCAGGAGCCAGGGTAGGGTGAGCCTTACCTGGAGCCCAGCTCCTTTGATGCGCCGGTAGAACTCGTCATCCTCTCGGCCCCAGCCCCAGAAGCGGTTAGACATCCCGTTGCACTGACATAGAGACAGGCAGCATCTGTCACCTGCCCCTCCTTTCAGGGTGTATTCTGGTATCCTAATGCTTAGGAGAATCCATCCCAAGCCCAACAGGCTCCCCCTTCCTCCTCTTCCTCTCCTCACTGTTCTGAGTGGATACCAGGTACTTGCAGGGCCCTTTACCTCTGCGATATTGGAGCTAGGAAGTAGGAATCAGCACATCCCAGACCTTCTCCCTATACTAATGGGATCTTGAACTTGTATAAGATGATTAGTGTCACAAAAATGTCTGATTGGCCAGAGAGGATCTCTCTGGAGATGGCCTATGGACAGAAGTGCCAACTGATACTGATTTTTGTCTTTCTCTCTTACACTCATTTCTCCTAAAGTGGCTCTGCCATTGTTTCCCCATGTGACACAGAAGTGACAGCTGGGCTCTATGATGGCACCTATTTTTTTATACCAGGAATCGAACTCAGGACCTTGTGCTTACCAGGCAGGGACTTGTGTCACTGAGCTATACCCCTGGCCCATGATACCTATTTTTAATCTTTACATTACATAAAGTAGGTTTCAGCCATGACTTGAAGAGAATAGAAGGCTAGAGCCTCAGCCACTCAGTTCTCACTCAGCTAGGCACAGACCTATTAAAAGCCCCTTCAGTTCAGTTCAGGGACTCCTGTCTGGGTTACTGAGGAAGGAGGGGCTCCATCTCCCACCAGACCAAAGCCTAGAAGAAGCTACAATAATCTTGCAGGATTATACATGTGAAACTAATAGGTTCCTAACACACGAAAGGCAGGGCTGTGAGGTGGAGAGAAATGGCATTCTAGCGTCACTGGCTGAAGTAGGCAAGGTGCACCTGAAGCCAGACTCTCCCTACCCCACTTTTCAATTTTGAGCCAGCATCTCATTTTCTGCTGCCAGATGGCATGAAAGCTTGTGATACTATAGCAGAGCTCGCCCTGACTTGCTTATTCCCCTTCCTCGCTCATGTCTCTAGCTGCAACTAGGTCACCTACTGGATCCAGGCAGGACTTCATCTGCTGGACCCCAGAATGGCTGCTCCATCTTGCCAAGTGTATCCACTCAGAGCAAAACAGGACAGGGTTGGGGACTCCCTAGCTCTGAGCAGAACAGGTTGGGCTGGGCCTCACCAGCTGGTAGTGCTGCTTGGAGAGAAGGAGGATGCCGCCCACGTAGGTCTTGTAATGATAGAGCGGGTGGAGCTCTGGGGAGGCCACATGGAAAGGCCCAGCCTCAGGGAAGCCATAGTCCAGCTCCTCATTGAGAGGGAGCAGGTCCACATCGTGCATGGCAATGTAGTCTGTGCTGTTGCTGCTCTCCAGGAAGCCCACATTGATGAGTGCTGCTCGGTTGAACCTGTGCAGGGTGGTTGGGATTGGGCAGGGGGCAGGGAGCTTGCTCACCACCAGCTCTGTATGACAGTCCCTGCCCCTGGAGCCCCTGTTCCCCTCAGCCCAGCACTTTGCTGCATAGGGCTATTCCCTCTGTTCACTGCACAAGTGTCCAATGAGCACTTATTAAATGCTAAAAACTGTCCACTACCGCACTGGGAGACACAACAGGGTGAGAACAAAGCTCTGCTCTCAAGGAGCTGTCAAAGCAATAGGAGTAAACAAACAAACAAAGCAAAAGAGAAGATGCAACAGGACAGACTGAGGGCTTAGGGAAAAGTCAGCAGACAAAGAAGGTGAAACTTGCTTGGGGGATGATCTTGTTCCCTTAGACAGGGCTGTCAGGGAGGGCCAGGGTCACAGCGTAGCACTTAAGCAGAAATCCAAAGGCCTGAGGGAACAAGCCATATGAAAGCTGGGGGATCACGGCTCTAAGCAGAGAAGGCCACTGCCAAGGCCTGAAGCAAGAGACAGAAATGCAGCCAGGAAGAGTAAAGCTGGTGAATGGGGATAGGCCAGGGGCTGATGGGGCTGACTGCACCAAAGGACCAGGGCACTGATGCTGGCTGGGGAGGAGCTGCTCAGGGGACCTGCAGCAGAGGTGTGAGGTGCTTATATCTCAGGAGGTTCACTAGTTGACATGATGAGAAGGGCAGGGCAGCAGTGGAAGGAAGGAAACCAGCTGGGAGGAAAAAGGAGTGGGGGCCTGGTTGAAAGAGGAAGCAGTGGAGACGGAGAGAAGAGGGTAGATTCTAGATATATTCTGCTGATAAAATGCATGCTACATGACAGGAAAAGACGCAATGAGGATGACTCCACAGCATTTTTTGCTTGAGCAGCTAGAAGCATGGAGTTCCCATTTCCTGAAATGTGGTAAATGGCAGGGGGAACAGGTCTGGCTGGGAAATTAGGAGTTCCGCTGTAGTCACACTCAGGAGGATGAAACAGGAGGACCAGCATGAGTTCAAGAGCAGCCTTGGTTACATAGTGAGTTCAAGGCCAGCCTGAATTAAATAGCTACATAACAAGACTCCATCTCAAAAAATGTAAAAAAATGAAAAGAAATTCCACTGTGTTCATGTAAAGGTCAAGCTGCTTCTGAAACTATTAAATAGAGGACTTGCCAAGATGACTGGATGTGCAAGTCTGAAGCTCAGAAAAATATCTAGAATCTAGGTTAGAAATACAGAATCAAGGGTCAGCAGGAATGGGATACTGTAAGACTGGATGAGATTTGTAGAGAAAAAATGCAGCTCAAAATGAGGTGGTGATCAAGCATTAAGTCCCAAGGAACTTCCATGATGAAAGAGAAGGACATGAGCAGGGAGAGCCAGCAAGGATGGAAGAGAACCAGGGTGCCATCCCAGAAGCCAAGTGAAAGCCTCAGACTAAATAATCAGTTTGGCAGATATCCTGCTCTCAGATTCACAGGATGAAGGTTCAGGATTAAGGAAGCAGAGCAGATTGGGGATCTCAATGTGGGCCATTTCAGTGTCATAATGTAGGTCAATGTCTGAGTGGAATGATTTCAAGGGAAAAGAAGGCAAGGAGTTCTGCTACAAAAGGGAGAAGAGAAGTGGGGTGATAGTTTATTTAATTTATTTATTTTTTTGTTTTGTTTGTGGAATTGGGGATTGAACTCAGGCCCTTGTGCTTGCCAGGCAAGCGCTTTATTCTACTGAGCCATCTCCCTGGCCCCAGGGTGACAGTGTAGAGGGATGTAAAATGGAGGGAGTATTTATTTCCCTCTTCTTTTAGGGGGGTGCTATCTTAGTATGTGTGTGTGCAGATGTGAATACTCCAGGGCAAAGGAAACCAACAATGCAGGATCAAAAGAGGGCAGATACTTGAGTGCTTCCCTTGAGTAGGAGAGAGGGAGAAGGCCCCGTGCCACAGTGACAGAGTCAGCCCCTAAAAGAGTGGGACGGTCATTCCTAGTAACAGGAAGGGAGCTAGGAGGTGAGTGGAGGTGGAAAAAAGCTCTCTTCCAATTGTTTTTTTTTTTTTTTT